ATATGTATTTTACTAATTATAATTAGTAAAAAATTTAAGCGTTGCATTATTTTTGATTGCCACTGTATATATATATATATAATAAATAATATATTTATAATAATTCAAGATTAATAATTAATTTTATAAATTATCAAGTTATAATATTATATTATATATTATTAAATATTAATAATTATATTATTAAGTTTTTTATTAATTAATATTATATAAAATAAATAATTTATTAATTAACTTTTTAATTAGATTTTTTACTTATTCTTATTTATTATTTTTAGTAATTTATTTTTCTTTTCTATTTATTTTTATATAATTTATTATTTATTATTTATTTTTATATTTAAGTATTTTTTGAAAGTATTATTAATTAAGTATTTATAATTTATATATTTTTAAATTATTATTAAAAATATTTTAATTTTATTTTATAATTTTATTTTTATTTTAATTTTAATAAAATAAATATAAGTTTATATAATTAAATTAAATCTATTTACTTTTAACTTAATTTTTTATATAAATTCTTATTAAAATATATTATATAATAAGAAAATTATAATTTTAATAATAATAAAAAAGATTAAAATTCTATTAAAATTAAGATATTTATTATATATAAATTTATATTTTTAGTATATATTTATATTTATAAATTTATATAAATTTTTATATATTTATAAAATAAAATCTTGTAATTATACTTATAAAAACTATTAAAATTAAATATATTAAAGAAATATAAATATTAAAGAATCTGAAAATATTAATAATAATATATCTAGAATTTTATTAAAAATTCTTATATATAATATAAATTCTCAAAGATATTTAATACTTTAAAATATAAGACTTTATAAATAAAAATATAATAATAAAAAAATATATTATTAAATAGTCTTTAATAAAATTTATAAACTAATATATTTTTTATAAAAAAATATCTTAAAAATTTATTATATAGTTAGATTTTCCTGTAAATAATTTAAATAAAAATTAATAGTAAATAAAGTAAATTTTTAATATTAAAAAAATATTTTTAATTAGTTAAATTTTATATATGATTATATATATTAATAAAAATAATGATAGCTTATAATTTAATTAATTAAAATCTTAAAAAAATTATATATTATTTAATATATTTATTATTATTTAAAAAAAGAAAGAGAAAGAGATTTATTATATATTATTTGATATATTTTAAGAATTATAATCAAAAATAATATTATTTTTATTTAAAAAAAATATTATTATTAAATATAAATATTATTTTCTTATTAAAATTATATTTTAAATTATTTTCAAACTAATCAAGTATTAATATTAATTTATATAATTAAATTTTTACAAAATATTATTTGAAATTTAATAATATAATTTATATTTTTTGATAAAAGATTCTATTCATAAATATTTATATATTAAGTAAAAATGATATTCTAATTAATTATAACTTGTGATAGATGATCAGAGAATCATAATTTAATTACAATTAATTATAACTAAATTATAATTAATTGTGATACTATCTCTAATATTAAGTAAATTAATATATATAATAATAAATATTAATAAAACTAATAGAATCTAATATTAGTTAAATAATAATTTTAAGACTTTTAAATAAATAATTATAATAAAAATATATATATTATTTTATTTTATTTTAGAATAACTTAATAAAATTAAGTTTATAATAAAATTTTAAATAATATATATATATATATATATTTAATTATTTTAATAATTTCTTATAAATAATTTTTTTGAAAAATAAAATTAAGTTGATAATTAAGAATTTTACTTATATAATATTAGAAATTTATTAAATTAAAAGTATATAATTTATAAATATTATATTATTTTGTCAAATTTTCTAATTACAAATTATATTCTTTTAAAATTTATTAATATTCTTTAATTTTATTATATTATTAATATTAATAAATATCAGATTATATAAAGATTTATCAGATATTTTATTATTATAAAGAAATAATTATTTATTATTATTTTTTAAATTTATTTATAAAATTATAAAAGTATTCTTAATATAAATAATATAATTATAATTATTATTAAATATGAAGAGTATAATTTTTTCTGAATATATTTATTTAAAAATTAGAATAATTTTATTAATTACTTAATTTATAAGATCTTGATTTATTTATTAGTTATCTTGACTTAAATTTAAATATATAATAATATAAGCTTTAATATATAAAAGTTAAATATTCTCAAGAAACAAATTATTTATAATTTTCTTTTCTTTCTAAAGATAAAAATATCTAATTAATTTATAAATAAATTATTTATATAATATTAAGCTTTTATAATTTATATTAAATCTAATTTTCTTTTGCTAAATTTCAAATTTTAATAATTTTATTATTAATATAAAAAATTAAGTTATTATAAATAATTAGAACAAGTTTGAAAATATCTAAAAATATTAGTAAAATAATTTAATTTATATTCTGTTTTTTATATTTTATAATTTAAGACTATAAACTAATTATTTATTATAAGAATTTATTTTAATAAGCTATTTAAGCTATTATATTTTTATACTTATAATTATTAAAGTAAATATTCTTTAAATAATTCTTATAATTTTAATCAAAATGATATAATAATTTCTGAGTTATTTTTTTAATAATTATTTTTATATCTTTATTTTAAAAAAAAATAGCTTATCCTTAATAAACTTAATAAATTACTAAATAATTATAGTAAATTTATTTATATATAAATATTAAATAATATGAAACTTAAATCTTTATCAAGTAAAAATAACTTAATTTTGAAATATTAATTATAATATAATATAATTATTTTATCTTTTTTTAATTATTTAGTTTATGAATGAATAATTTATATATATTATAAATCCTAATTAATATTACAGACAAGAAAATTACTAGTAGAAAGCTTAAAAAACTCTTGATCTTGAATAAGATAAAGAAATTAACTTACTATTCAAAGCTATATATTGGAGTTTTTCTTTAATAAGATATTGAGAGATATCAAAGTGAATGAATTATTCTTTTTATTACTTAATTTAATAATCTCAAATGGGATTTTATAATTATTAAAAGTATTATTAATAAAAATTCAGTTTGTAATTTTAGAATTCAAAGCTACTTTTCTTTGGATGACTTTTTTATTACAAAGTATTAATTTGATCAAACTCATATAAACTGGTTTTTATTTTTTTATCATCTACATATTTAATTGTCTGATATTCTTTATGAGTTTTTTTAATATATTTACTTGTACTCTTCCTAATTCTTCTGTAAATTAGTCATCACTCAAAGGCTTGTTTTTATTTTTCAGCCAAGTAGTATTAAAGCTTAGTTGGTCATTATTAAGATTATTATTTGGTAAATCATCACTTAATTTCTTGATATCTGATAACTTAGGATTTGATTTCATATTGTTTCAGTACTTTTTTGCAGCTGCTGAGCAGTATTTACTTTGCTTCTTTCATTTGACATAATAAAAAACATGTAATCTAAAAGGATCTTTAATAAAAATGCACTTTCAATGGAAACAGATTTTTAATTACAAAAAAATACTTTAAATCAATAAACATTTCATTTTTGCTTTTTTTTGAAAAAAAATGCATTCTGAAATGCTAGAGTATACTGTGAGGAGAATAGGATTATTAGACAAGTAGTCTTTCAGGCGCGCTCTTATATAGAAAAGGGAGAATCTCTTAAAATTGCTCCCTGATAGATTATGCTCACGCGCTTCATTTGCACGTGATTTATTATTTTATTAAAATAACCACCCCAATATACTACGTAATACATGCATCGAGAATTTCAGCGGTGACGCGGTATTTGATGTCTTTAGAGTGCCTGCACCATAGTAAGGAATTAAAAAGTATCTTGGCAGAGATGGAAAAAACTTTGACGAGAGAATAGCATCGCAAGCAAAATTTTCTACAAAAAACAGCAAAATCCACTCAAATGCAATTTCATGCATTTGTTTATCCAAAGTGACATTTCAGATCTATTAGATCTATTTTAATATATCAAATATTTAGGGTCAGTTTGTACGTTTCAAATGAAAATATATAAATTAGTTTGTAAAAAATTTTTATAATATGCGCTTGCGCTACAATCAAGAATATGTTACGTGCGAGAAAAAAAAATACAAAACTCACAGAATTTCAACGTGGACAAATAGTTAATTATGAAAGGTGGGAAAATCTCTTTTAACCATTAGTATTTTATAAAAATCCAAAAAATACAGTATTAGCATTGGATGAAGAATTCCAACTGCCGTATTAAGAATCAAGATATGTATTCAGAATCAATGAAATGCTAAAATATTAAATTGTTGGATAAAATAAATGTTTAAGTTAAATAGAGAGTTTGGACGACGACTGTATAATGATAATGTTATCGTTATAGTAATGCTGTGTATGTTATTGGGTATTACATGTATTTTGAATAAATAGTTTAAGACGCTTCAACAAGTCACATAACCTAATGAAACTGATATTTCAAATTGGTTAGCACCGAATTAGAAAATCTGAATTTTTTGTTTTTACTTGTACTTATTACGAAATTTGACGTTTTACATTTTGTTACAATATAAATTCCATTAAATTTACAATACTTTATGGCTTACGTACTGAAGTAATACGTATTGATGAAAACGCAAAAGTAGTATAAATTCTACGCGAATAATTCTTTGAACGACGGGTTCAAAGTCCCAGTAAAACTTTTCAATTAGAATTATTGTAATATACTATTGAAATTAATATTGATTGTAACCATTTTTCACCCTTCGTTTATCTTTGGACCAGCGGCAACCAAACCAATTCCTTCACACTCAATTAAATATAATTCATGGCTATCCTCCTGGCCTTGTTCAATTATATTAGAACTTACCGCTGTACTATTGTCGTTATTACTGAATTTAGAAACCTCAAATCTGACTCCTGTCATTATTTGGGCATAGTGAATCGCTGTGCGAGTATGTAATGTGGGTTCCCCTATTTACGGAAAAACAAAAAGCTGTAATTTATTAATACGTAACGCGGTTTAAAAGATATTCTTTACCTATTAATAGTTGCGATTTTCCCCTTGCAAGTGCCATAAAGATTATTAATTGATCTTGAAGATTTCTAAAATATTTTCATTAAAATTACGAATCATCGTTCAAATATTATTACTCAAAAAAAAAAAACAATACTTACTCATCAACGCATCCACCCTGTCTCAAATTAGAAATCAATTCTTTCGCAGCATTTTCTCCAAGTTGCTCCGGCGATAAGTCTAATTTGAAATTGGCATCTTTTAGTTATAAAAATATAAAATTAACGTAATTGAGATATAGAAATTACCACGATCATAAACACCGCTTCCCGCCAATATGCATCCTGTACTTGTCTCAGCCCACAATCTAAAGAAATTCAATTATGAATTATCGATAAATAAATATTGTTTCCATTAGCAAGAACTCGTCGTATAAGCATACATAATTTCAAATCCCTTTCCACTAGCGATTTTTTCGTAATTAATTTCAATTCGAGGATTTATTTGAGTTATGTTGTCTTCCCCTTTTAAATTGGCTTCATTCAATATTCGAGTTGCGCTTCTAATCATTTTTTGTGCCACCTGTAAAATTTATGATAATATCTATTTTACGTGCACGTATCGGTATTTCGTCAAATACAAAAATTTCTCTTGATCTATAGTTACCTGGTTTGCAGAATTTGCTATAGTAGCGCGCCTGTTTTAGTTCAAATTTCGTATCAAAGAAATTAGTTCATAAATAAGTAGAGAATATAAATACAGCACTGTGCTAGTAATACCCTTTAATGCTAACAAGATGACCACGCTCCAACAAAGTAATTGGAGTTAACGCTTTCCCCACAAGAGGCTGAACTCGAAGTATTACTTCACCGCCACCTTTCGGATAATATCTACACATAGAAATTTCAATTTATGAAAGAAATTTGAATTAAAAATTAAAGGGTAAAATGTTATTTTATACCCTCGTCCAATTATATTGACATCAAAAGCTAATCCGAAATGTCGTTCAACAATCGGTTTAAATACCTTTATAATCATGGGTTAAATATTAATTACTTTAAAGTCATAAATTCAAAATTCGTATGACTTACTTCTATCACAAAATCAATTGTAGGTGCTGCTTTACCACTTGTACCACCTTTTAGAATGATGTTCACTGCTGGTGGTGGAGGACTAAAAGCTGATTTTGGTGGCAACGCGAGAAAGATTAATGGAGGTAATGATATTTGAATCATTAAAGTTATACTCCTAAAAACACACATATTTAGTCCTATTTCAATTACCGAAATAAATGACTTTTAAAGATTAAATTTACCCAGCAGTTTTAGCGTCGGCCAAGAATGTAGTTTTTTCGACGGCGATATTATTAGGCTCAAATATTATTGTATTTGAACCTACCTTTAAAAAATGGCGAATTAATAAATAGATTATTGAATGATTCTAACAATCGAAATACCTCATCACCACTTAATTTAGCATGATAAATATCGCGCAATAATCGAAGACCGGTAACATGTTGTGGCCTTAATCCTGAAGCAACTTGGATTATTATGACATGATAAACTCCTAATGCGAAAAATTTGATCCAAACCTGGTTTATCACGACTTGCACGAATATTTTCAATCTTTAATGGTTTTTTCATTATACAACTATTTTTATGATTGTCGTTATAGACGAAATACAATCGATGATCGATTTAAAAGAATCAGAAACAAACTTACCTGAATGCTACCACATTTCGCAAGACTTTCCGAAAATCAACAAATAAGTAAAAGATAGTAAAAGATCCATGTATAAAGTATAGAAAGAAAAAAAGGCACCTTGGCCACCACCTTCCATAAGTGACCCATCAATTGTCAATATCTCGTTCGTCAACGAATCCGTCATCATTTAATTTTACAATAAAATTTTTTATTATGCGTTAAATATACTACCGTACATCAAAATTTTATTATACGCAGTTAGGGGAGTTGATCTATTATGGGGTGAGGCTATCAATTAAAAATATTACATGATTTCCATATTTAAACTTAAGATTTACGCACCATCAGACTCTTCTGTAGTCACACACACATGTACATGTGTATTGTATGTCACACCTGATATAATATTTACCTTCAACGGCATTTCTCAATATCCGATTCCGTTGGTCTGTACATTGGAAAAATACATACCGATGTACAGAATATAATAGTTCCCAGGTTACTGCGTGTGTTGTCTTCGTGTAAATATGAGTCGACCTTATTCAAAATACGTACATGTTCTTTGGGCGGATTTGTTTGTAGTGTCGAATGATTTAACTGCGTGTTTTCATATTGATTGACAATTAATTAATTAATAAAGAAAAATTCGATAAATACCCCGAGACCGTTCGATTTTATACTCGCGAAAAATTAAAAATGTCTAACACTAATTATGAAAAAAATAATGGATCTGTTAGAGACCCAAATACATCTAATTTACCCCTAAAAGAGCAAGCTATAATAACGGAAGAAAAACCATCGAATGCCAAAGAAATCAACTTGAAAACAATAAATGAAAATGATAATTCGACGATGGATAATGAGCAGCATGAAAACCATGTAAAAACCCAAAACGCAGTGTCGATTGATATCGTCAACACAAAAAAGAATATCAACGATGAACTCAATAAAGATCCTGATAATAACGATAATTTTGAGGATCAAAGTCAAATCTTGCCATTTAAACAATTAGTGGTTGTATTCGTAGGGTTAGTCAAGTTTTTTAGATATTCTTCATTAGTTTATGTATATAAATCAGCTTTATTCTTGCACTTTTTAGTTTATTATTGGCACTTTTCCTTGCTGCCCTCGATCAAACAATCGGTAATGCTATTATTCTAAACAAGGAAGTAATATTTGATTTCGCACCTAATCTAAATATTGGTGTATATATAAATTTATAGTATCAACATGTCTTCCGAAAATTGCCTCGGAATTCGACGCTCTTGATAAAATCGCATGGGTTGGTACGGTATATTTATTAACAGCCACAGCAGTTCAACCACTTTATGGCAAGTTTTCGGATATTTTTGGGCGAAAGTCTGTTTTTCTATTTGGCGTTATTATATTTTTGGTAGGAAGTGCGTTATGTGGAGCTTCTCAGGTAACTACATGTTTAATGCACCTTGTAAAATAATAATTGCCTAATCCAATGACATATCTTTTCAATCTAGACCATGACAATGCTTATTATTTTCAGAGGTGTTGCTGGAATGGTAATCTCTTTTTACTTTATTCTTTTAAACGTAATTTCTCATGCATTTATTAATATTTTGTTAATTATACAGGGTGGAGGTGGTATTATTAGGTATAGTATATGAACACGCAACCTTGTAAAGTTAGCATTAAACCTGCATAATATACTCATGGTTTCTATTATATAGTATGATTATGGTTATAATATCGGACGTGGTTTCACTTCGAGATCGTGGAAAGTATCAAGGATCTATTGGTGGCGTATTTGGAATTGCTTCTGTCGTCGGTCCTTTAATTGGTGGCGCTTTCACGGATCATGCTTCTTGGGTAATTTCAAATTAAGATTTACTCGTTAACAAATATATAAGCTAAATTTTGTATTTTTATTTTTTTTGCATCATTGATATGAAACAACCAAAAGCGGGTAAATATTTTCAATATTTCATATGTCATTACAATCAATTGATTAATTCTTGTAACACTAAAGATTCAAATTCAAATTTAGTGGGCATTCTACGTAAATTTACCTATCGGCTTTGGAACAATCGTCTTAATCATAGTTTTCCTTAAATTACGAAGCGTTTCCGGCTCAATTAAAGAAAAAATTGCACGAATTGATATTTTGGGTAGTCTTTTAACTATGCTCTCTATTATATGTCTGTTATTACCAACAAACTGGGGAGGAAATGAATACGAATGGAACAACTGGAGAGTCATTTTACTTTATTGTATTGGTGGGATTCTTGTCTTTGTCTTGATTTACGTTGAACTACGAGTCGCCATTGAGCCAGTTATTCCGCCGAGTATGTTCAAATATCGGACTGTGAATGCCGTTTTTGTATCAAATTTCTTTATTGGAACAGTGTTTTTCTCATTGATTTTCTTTACTCCGTTGTTTTTCCAGGTATATTTCTTAATTGACGTCTTTTCTTCATTTCATCTGCTAAATTATTCTACTAATTTATAAATTATTAGACCGTAAAACATTCCTCTGCTACTTCAGCTGGTCTTCACTTGATCCCTCTTATCTGCGGTCTCGTGGTGTTTTCGATCCTTTCAGGAATTGGAGTCTCAATAACTGGTCACTGTAGAGAATTCGTTTGGATTGGCACTATCATGCTGACTGTCGGCTGCGGACTTATGACTATGTGGGATGCAGACACGAATAATGGCAAATTAATAGGATATTTAATTGTGTGTGGTTGTGGAATGGGACTCCTCTTGCAAACTACTTTGCTTGCAGCGCAAAGTGCTGTTCCACACAAGGTAAACTTACTAAGTTGGAAAACCATTACGACCATTCAAGTTTGATAACGAGTATTTGTTTTGATTAATTTTAGGAAATTGCGGTAGTCACTTCAATGGCAAATTTCTTCCGAGCTGGTAAATTTTCGACCTATTTTAAATTTTGTACGTTCCGTCATTAATACTACATGTAATAATATTTCTCCCTAAAAAGTCGGTGGGATCTTCGGCTTAGCAATAAACGGTTCGGTGTTCAACAACATTCTCAGAAACCGGTTTAAAGAAATTGTCGCCTCTTCACACTACGTACCCCCCAACATCATTAACTCGGAAAACAATGTTAGTGCCATATATCAGATTCCGGATCCGGTATTGCGTGGAAAAGTTATTGATGCATTTGTAAGTGCCATTAGCGCAATCTATATGGTTACTATACCGTTTGCAGTGTTGGCATTTTTGTCGAGTTTATTTTTGAAGGTTTGTATAATACTTATGAAGAATTGTCGGTTTGATATTTTGCTGATTGATTTATTTTCCTTGTAGCATCATAAGATACAGAAAACTCCCGGTGCGAGTGACACTACCACCAAATGAATTGTTTTTGAGTAAATTAGATGGAATACTATGTTAGAAATAATTTATAATTAGCATAGAAGAAAATATTAATTAAGAAGCTGTAAAAAATTATTTTAAAATATTTTTTATAAGCAAGCATATTTCAATGAAGATTTTCTTAATTTAACAAATTCAAAGAAATGTCAACAAAAATATGTATTAAGTAAAAATACATGTACATGGATATATCGATATGTTGTAATCCGAATTAAGTTTTTTCTCCGATTATGGATACATTTTTCATTTTGAATGATTAACACACATTTCATGTATTAAGTTGAGATCATTTCCTTAAGCCATTGCGAAAGACTTGTCGTCTTTTGGAGTATTTAGAATATAATACTGTACACTCTTTCGAAGTAAATCTTTTGGATTGATATTAAAATTGTTTGGGACAGTATAAAATACTGTTGACCATGTAGTCATTGCCGTCACATGTACATGTATTATGCATCAGAATTGTTCAAAGCTTATCACGAAACTTTAAATGCGATATTACTGCGCACGTCGAGAAATTAAGTTTCTCTTGGATAGTTGCCTCAGGAAGGAATTTTTATTCCCTAAGAGAAATGGGTGCCTGTAAGTATACGAAAAAAGTCTGTTACCTTCGTAAACTATCTTTGTACAGGTTTTTTGACGTAAAAACATTGTATCATAAAACAAATAGATTTTACATGTTTATACGTCCATAAAACCCTGTAAAATGACACTTTACGAAAGCAAAAGACTTTCGTATATTTTTGGATTTATTTACAGACATTTACAGGTACCCATTTCGAATGCAAACGATTATTTTTCCAAGAAATCTTGAGACTATCGTAACGGAATTGCAGGTGAACGATACAAGCAAAGCGAACCACCAGGTCAAACAAACCTTTTAAAGTATACCCATAATTAAAACTTCGTTCACGACATTACTATCGAACGGATATTATTAGATATCCCAAAAAGTTTCCACATTTTGCTCCAGCAATTATCGAATTCAATTTCTGACTTTTTTAAAGACACCTTTCCAACGTTCACAAGCCCGACAAACGAAACCCCGAATGATCAAAATCTCGAAAGAACGACATCCCGAATGATCGAAATCCCGAAATCATGATAATTTTGGTATTCATGTATTTGGGATACTCATTTTAAAGCTAATAACCTAGAGAACGTCTAAAAAAGTCAAAAAAAATATGTTATAATTGCTATTCTAAAGAAATCAAATGACTACGTAAATATTTTTAATGAGTGAAATTTCTAATCCAATAAAAAATGTTCTTTATGAGAACTATCTACATACCAATTTTCAGCTAAATTGGTACCCAAATTCGTTTAGCTATTAGCGTTAGATCCCGAAGTACCAAATTAATGCTAATAAAAATAATTCAACTATTTCTTTATTAGCATTAATTTGGCACTTCGGGATCTAATAATTAAATGAATCTGGTATGTAGATAGTTCTCATAAAGAACATTTGAAATTTCACTCATTAAAAATATTCACATAGATCATCTAATTTCTTTAGAATAGCAATATTAACATATTTTTTTGACTTTTTTAGACGTTCTCTAGGTTATTAGCTTTAAAATGAGTATGAGAACCAGATACATTTAATCGATGTTAGAGGCTCTAGAATTTTTTTCATTCACGCTTCGTTTCTTTCGCAAGTCACTGTAATTTCGGGATTTCGTTCGTTCGGGATGGGATTTCGTTTGTCGAGCTTAAGAACTGTCGGGATTTCGTACCAGACACTTTCAGCTAACTAAAACAATAGATTTGATTCCATTCATCCCTCAACCTTTTACAGCTTTGACGAGATCTTTTAATGTTTTGGGAACTGGACCGGCACCTGGAGTAGGGATTGGAATCAATTTGAAAAATTGAATATGATAATCGAAGTGATTCGCAAAAGAAACGAAAAGCAAGAAAAAATGGCGAAATATGAATAACTCGTCATTGAAGAATTATCGTCGATCCAAAAAAAAGCAGACCACTTCGTTAGAGTAATAATAATCAATGCAATTTTCATTTCATCTATCATTTGATTCACAAGATAAATTATAATAGATTTTCTTTTTTTATTTTACATTATGCAATTGCAAAATTATTCAAAACTAATACTTAAATTCAAATTAAAATTAAAATTTAAATATTTTGAATAGTAAAAACTTAATTAAAAAATTTATTCTTTTAATATTAATTATATTTGATTTTATATTAATTTTAAACCTAATAATTAAAATTAAAAGTTTAAAAATATAATTTATTTAAATAATTAATTAGTAAAGTAACTTAAATATTTTATTCAAAAAAATTCTAAAAAGAATTGACTTAATAAAAAATAAATTTTTTTTATAAAAATTATTTATAATTTTATTATTTTTTAATTATTTATTATAATTATTCAATTAATTAATTATAATTAAAAAAACCTTTTTTATAATCATATTTTTTATACTCATTATTTTTTTAAGTATATTAAATACAGTGGCAATCAAAAATAATGCAACGCTTAAATTTTTTACTAATTATAATTAGTAAAATATGTATTTTTCCT